CTCTCTCTCTCTGCCTCTCTGCTTCTCTGTCTCTATCTGTCTGTCTGTCTGTCTGTCTCTGTCTGTGTCTCTTTCTGTCTGTTTTTTGTTTGTTTGTTTGTTTTTGGTATATACACACACACACACACACACACACACACAAGATTTCTTTGTGTAGCCTTGGCTACCCTGGAACTCTGTAGACCAAGCTGGTCTCGAACTCACAGAGATCTACTTGCCTCTGCCTCCTGAGTGTTGGTACTAAAGGCATCCACTACCACCACCATTACCTGGCTCTTTCTTTCTTTTTAAGACCAGGTCTCGTTGTGTAACTCCGGCTACCCCAGAATTCATTGTATAGACCAGGATGGTCTCGAATTCACAAAGATCCACTTGCCTCTGCCTCCTGAGTGCTGGGATTTAAGGTTCAGACTGCTGTGCTGAGCCTGGCAGATCCACTTTTACCAATAACTAGTGGGGGAAACTCAGTTGACACCTTGAGGACCATGTTGGGGAAAGAGCTAGGATAGTGTCAAGATGGTGTCAGGACTGGACCAGTTGTGGGTCTCAAGAAAGGACAGTGTAAAGTTAACAAGATGTGAGAGCCTTGCTGAGGGAGATGGGGGCCTGTGGAGTATCAGTGCTCAGGGAAAGACAGTGGAGGATCTTGAAAGCCCCCAGTCAGAGCTCTGAGTGTCGTGAGGGATGGCAATGCCCTCATACCTTAGACTCCTGCTTGCCCCTTCAGCCCAGGACTGTCCCTGCCCCAAGCTCTGAGGGGAAACCGGAACTCTTGCAGGAGGTGGTTTCCTGCCACTGCCCAGTCTTAGTTCCTTTTTGGTGAGGTTGTCCGGGTTTACTGGGTTTGCTCATGCCTCCCACCTTGTCTGGGAACTTCTCTTTCTCCCCTGCCCTGCCCAACCCTGCGCCTCTGTCTACCTCGGCCTCAGGAAGTCCTTTGAGGAGAGAACAAAGGACACGAATTTGACTGGGTATCCACCCACCATGCTCAAGGACAGACGGGGATCTGACGCAAGGAGCTTCAGGGAGATCTGTCTCCCTAACTCTCTGAGAGATAGATAGACTGACTTGCCCAGTGTCTCAAGCCAGTTGTCACACAGAGACAGACTTTGAACCTAACCCTGTCTCCAGTTCTTCCTCATACTTGGAGGTCAGGCTGGGGAGGTCAGGATATCTCAAGTCTTACCTCATCAAATAGGAAATAGGACTCTTGAGAAAGAGTGAGAAGACTGGGGCTCTTGTGTCCAGGAACACAGGTATGTGGGAGGCAGGCTCCCTGTTGGGTGTTCAGCTGCCATAAGACAGATTCAGTTGGCCATTGACCGTGTGGGAAGAATGACATTTACCAGTCAGGGACAGCATGATCCTACCCAGGCTTTGGAGAGTCCAGCCACAATGCCAGGATCAGAAGTGTGGACTGAGTCTCACAGTCATCTGAATCTTCTGTGACCTCTCAGGGAAGTCGCTTTTCTGATATATGCAAGAAGGCGGGTGGACCAAGTGCCCCTGGGGGCCTCTTTGCAGCTGTGGCTCTCAGCCCCTCTTGGCCGCTGCCAGTGAACTAGAGCTTCTTATGAAATCCTCACAGCTGCTCTGCCCAGAGGGCACAGGTGAGAAACCGGATGTTCCGATGTGTTGTCCTTCATCCAAGGCTACAGCCTCCTGAAGAACAGAGGTGGGGAGGTGGGGTTGAGCACTTAATCCCTGTGGCGCAAAGATCACAAATTGAAGGGGAGGGTTACACAGAGAGATCCTGTATGCCCTGAAGGGGCGGGGGAGGGAAGGAAGAAGGACAAGAGGGAAGAAGAGACAGGGTGGGGGTGGGGGAGGGGGCGATGATTATCACACAGGAGCAGATACTAAACAGGGGCAGATACTGAAGTGGGCTGTTTTGTGGTCCAGAGTTAGCCCTTAGCTGTGATATCCATAATCTGATTTCAACCTTGATAGGGCTCTTTAATTGACTTCTTTCTTTTTCCTTTTTTTTTTTTTCTGTGTTTGTTTTGAGATAAAGTTTCTCTGTCTCTGTGTAGCTCTGGCCCTCCTGGAACTTGCTCTGTAGACCTGGCTGGTCTCAGACTCCCAGATCTGCCTGCCTCTGCCTCCTGAGTGCTGGGACTAAAGGTGTGTGTCATCAGCCCGCAGCTGAATTGATTCCTTTCAGTCAGACTTATTTGGGGCTGGGGTTCAGCTCTGTGGTGGAGAAGATGGCCACCAGGTACCAAGTCCTAGGCTGAAACCCTAGCACCAGAGCAAACTAATACCACATTCATAAACAAACCGACGCTTCTGAGTGGCACAGAATGCTGCTGCTGCTCTCTTTCTGACTTTAGCAAGCAGCTAAAGTTCACTGCCACCTAGGAGAGACAGAAGGGCTATCGACCTGTGCCATCCTTCATCCACGATGGCTCAGCGGTTAATGCCAACAAGCCTGATAACTTGAGTTTGATCCCTGGAACACATATGGTGGAAGGGGAGAACCAACTCCCACAAGTTGTTCCCTGACCTACAAACGCGCGCGCGCACACACACACACACACACAGAGAGAGAGAGAGAGAGAGAGAGAGAGGAAGAAGAAGAAAAGGGAGAGAGAACAGATCGTGTCATATTGCTCTGGATTTAGAATCTGATTATAAAGGGCTGGCACACGGTGGGGACTCAAAGAGGCACGTGATCATGCTTCTGGCTTCTGCAGAGATTGCAAAGTAGAACAGTGCGCAAGGTGCCCACACTGGTCGGTATTGTTTCGCTTCCCAAGTTACTTAAGATCACCATACCTCAGTGTCCTAATCCAGTAAGGGTTAAAACTAAAACCTGCCCCAGGAGGTCACTAAAGAGACCACGTGTAGAAATTTCTTGGCATGATGCCAGTCACTGTGTAAATGTTTAATAAATTAACACATTTTCACTAATAGTTACCACCACCCAGGCTTCTGGAGAGTGCAATGACTCCCTAGGGAGTCAGAACTTGGTATCAAGGCATAGAGGAGGAGGGAGAGAGACTTTTCATGAAGATGCTTGACTGGACAGAACAGGCTCCCACTACCCAGCTCCTTCTACCCAGCTCTGATCTCTTCATCTAGGCCAGTCTCTCCCTCCCCACCCCACCACCGTGTGTACATACATGTACATGTCATGAGTGGATATGGGTGTGTGTGTACATGCATGTGGAGGGATGCTGTACAGTCGGCAATGCAGATGTCTTCCCAAATCCCTTCATATTTTTATTTAAAAAAATTTAAAGGTTTATTTATCTATTTATTATATGTATATGAGTATACCATCATTGTCTTGTCTTCAGATATAACAGAAGAAGGCACTGGATCCCATTACAGATGGTTGTGAGCCACCATGTGGTTGCTGGGAATTGAACTCAGGACCTCTGGAAGAGTAGTCAGTGCTCTTAACCACTGAGCCTAGGGCCTTGGGCATGGTGGGCAAGCACTCCATAGCATCAGCTCTGGATTCTGTGGCACCAAGTCTTAAATGTGCTATGCCCCTGCCTCATGTACACGAATGCTAGAATTTTGGGGGCGCACCACTACGCTGGTCTTCTGGTACTCTTCAACTGGAATGTTGTCTCTTGGTCTCTGGCTGGGGTTCTCTCTGGCAGCGAGGTGCTGGCTCTCTGACATTGACTCAGGGGAGCTCATTCTCTTCCCTTCCCGGGCCCAGCCATCAGGAAGTTGCTCCAGTAGCTCTAAATCAGCCACAGTGGGAATATTTACACCATGAAAATTAGCAAATGCTACAAAATGGGAGCTTGGGGTTTTTTGTTGTTGTGGTTCCTTTCTCCCTATCCCCTGAAAAATCAGTTTATGAACAAACCACCCCGTCTTCCATCTTCCTCTCTTCCTCTTCACAGCTCCCTAGCTGCCTGTGTCTTTCACTGTTTCTCTATATTTCTCAGTCTTTGCCTCTTTTTTCTCCCCATCTTTCCATTGGTTCATGTGGTCACATCCAGTGTGGTTCTTCCCTGCACTGGGTCTCAAACACATCCGCTGTCACCATGCCTGAGTCCTTCAGTATACTCATACCGGAAAGCCAGGTCCACTTAGGGCCACAGACCCCTCAAAGTCTGGGCGTGACAGAGCCCTGAGGCCTGTCCAAATTTGCCCGCTGGTTACACTGTCACCCCGACAGTACTCCAGCTCAGCCCACAGAGCTTCTCTTTGAATGTTCCTCTTTCACTGGCAGACAGATTACCGGGGCTCCCTTGTGAGGGATATGCCCTAGCAATATACACTTGGGTATTACTAAAGTGGCAACATTGTGTCTACTGAGGGCTCCTGGGCTGTGTAAGTTTGTATCCTATAGAGGAGCGCTCTGGGTAGGGCTGGGTTTCCAGGGGAGTGCTGCATTCATCCCAGTTGGTCATACCCAGGCAGTATATTTGCATATGATTTCAGGAATGGCTTCAACTCTTTCTCATCGATAAGCAATGCAGGGAAATAGTTCAGATTCTAGTCCCAAATGATGGGATTCCTCACATGCGTGACCTTAGGCAAATAGCTAAACATCTCCGCGATTCAGTTGCTTCCTCAATAATAATACTTAAAACTGGGTTGGTAGGGAGAATGAAATGACATAGTACAGGCAAAGTGTTTAAAGTGGCCTGTAGATACCCAGGAAGGGGCTACCATTTTTAACTTATTTTCTTGTGGAGAGGTCCCATGGTGTGTGTATGTACATGTATAATGTGCATGCGCACATGTGTGCAATGGATGAAGGCTGTAGGTTGGTGTTTGTAAGATACAGTCATAGATGCATGTCTTTGGAGATCAGTATGGATGACTTTTTTTTTTTTTTTTTTTTTTTGGTTTTTTCGAGACAGGGTTTCTCTGTGTAGCCCTGGCTGTCTTGGAACTCACTCTGTAGACCAGGCTAGCCTCGAACTTCTCGAACTCAGAAATCCGCCTGCCTCTGCCTCCCAAGTGCTGGGATTAAAGACGTGCGCCACCACCGCCTGGCCAGTATGGATGACGTTTGAGAGTCTTTATGACCTGTGTGTGGCTGAGAAATTACGTAATGTCTGAGGTGCGGTACGGGAGAACTGAGTAGCTTGTGAACATAGGCTCTGAGGCCTATGTTTGTGTTTTGGTGAGAGGAGTTTTGCTCTCACCTGTAGCCCTTGCTTGCTTATTACCCAATCTCTCCTCTCCTCTTCTCTGAACCCTCTTCAGCTAGGCCCTGGTGTGTGTGTGGGTGTCTCTCCCTTCCACATCCTCCTCCATCTCCCTCCCCTACCTGAACAGCCTAGAAGGCTGGGCCCTTTCAGACGTGCTGGCTCTTCACTCCCTGGGGTGGGGGTTGGGGGATCTTGAGGTGAGCATCTCAATAAGGCTGAGTGAGGAGAAACTGGTTTGGACCGGCCTCTTGTCACAGCCTGCCTCACCACTCACCACATGCATGTTAACTTGTCACCTCAACACCTCAACACACAGATGATGGCTTTGGTAAAAGGGTGAGAGAAGCCAGGGTGTAGCCTGGGACTCTGGGGTGACTGGACCAGACACCAGCAACTAGACCTATTCGATCCAGGAAGAAAGGTTTCCTGGAAGAGGTGAGTATGTTGGTGAGAGAGAGGGTGAACTGGATGGGGGCTGTGACCTTCAGGCCCTCTGTGAGGGACCCTGCCTGGCTGTCCCTGGACTAGCCCCACCCTACAACATTAGACATTGTTACATCTTAGGAAACCAGGCTTCTCCCCAGGCAGTTCCTCCTCTGAGTGTTGCAATGAGGGAGTTTTTCCGGCAGGGGGTGGGGTAGGGTGAGGACCCCTTGCTTAATGACCTTCTTGTGGACTTGCTTACAGGGCATAGCTGCTGGGGAAAGTTTGGCTTGTTCCCAGATCTCTTCAGCAGACTATAGTGGCTCCAGCTTCTGTCTTGGGCCTCTGCCTAACCCTGGTCTGTAGGAGACTGTCACTTTCATCCTGCCACCAGAGATCAGCAGGTCTGCCGGGATGGGCCCAAGATGAGGGCGGAGACAGGGTTCCAGAATCAAGCTCATTTTTAGGAGATTCTGACTGACTAAGGTTCTGGTAGCACAGCTTGGTAGTGCTCTGGTGTGAAAGAAGAGCCTGAGAACAACACTGAGCGTGTGAGCGCGCCAACCTGAGAAGCAGCCAAGTATACACATACATATTTGTGTGGACACATGGACACAGATGTCTAGGTACAGATGTGTGTGTGCTGTTGTACATCAGAGCTCATCCGAGAGCTCTGTGCAGTGACAAGGTCACAAGGGCAAAGGCACTCAGTCTGGCGTCCGCTGTGATGCTGCGTGGCTGTGCCCGCATGTGTCTTCTTGCCACATCTCAGGTGGGACCGAGTGTGCAAGAGCTGGCACAGCTGGTGTGTCCTATGTGTGGATGGATATGCAAATGTTCCAGCAGTGATGGGAGAAAAAAAAGAAGAGAGAAGTCAGGATGGGCCAGAGCTCAGGCCTTCTGGCTTCCTGAAGAGGGTAGGATCTGGGCAGCTGGCTGGCAGAAATACTGACAAGGCCTGCTTTATCTTTCCCGCTGTTCTGTCTCACCCTCAGGTTTCCGCCACCTTCCAGGGACCATGCATCAGTCCTACTGACCCAGGAGTGGGGGCCTGTGGGGTGAGTAGGGTGGGAAGTGCACTGAAGTTTTCAGGGTCAGAAAACAGGGTAGGGTGGCCTTTCTGGGCCCCACAAAGCCTGCCTTACAGCCCCCTCCTCCTACAAGGGCCCTGTTGCTAGGAAACGGATAGAGGAGCCAGAATGAGGCAGCTTGAGAGGCTGGAGGCTGGACTCATGACAGGAAATGGCCTTGATCCCCCTCTGCAGGGAATCTCCAGGTGCAAGCACTCTGGCCTGGAACATTCACAAACACAGGCAGCTTTGCAGATGTGTATTACAAGACACACACACACATGCACACAGAGACAGGCACATACCTTTTCACACAGAGCTGTGTACAGTCATGGACACACACACACACAACCGCACACGGACACACATGCGCACACATTCACAGATGCACACATAATTACTTGCCCACCATATGTATATAAACAGACATACACATGACCAAATACATGCACAGACATGAATATATTTTTGTTTTTGAGATGAGGTCTTATGTATCTAAGGCTCACCTGAAACTTGATATGTAGCTCAGAATGGCTTTGAATTTCTGATCTTCCTGCTTCCCTCTCCTGAGGGCTGGGATTACAGGACCATACTACCAGGCTGAGTTTATGTAGTTCTGAGGGTCGAATACTCATGTATGCTAGCCGAGCACTCTACCAACTGAGCTTCCTTTCAAGGCCAGCACATTCTTCTACACACAGAGACATTCCTCAAGAACTACACACACACACCAATCATATGTCTAGAGACACATAAATACACACGGGGGAGAAGGAATACCATAAAGGACTCACAGAAACCCAGTATATCAAAGCAACAGGGGTCAAAGTACATGAACTGAGCCTAAGACTGGAGAGATGGTTAAGAGCATTGGCTGCTTTTTCACAGATCCAGGTTCAATCCTCAGTACCCACACAATGGCTCAAATTGTCTGTAACTAGTTCCGGGGGGGTCCAAAGCCATCTTCTGGCTTCCCTGAGCACCAGAGATAAGCATTTTACATAGAGATACATGGAGGCAAAATACCCAATTCACGTAAAATAAAATAATTAAAAATAAATAAACAAACAAACCAAATAAGGAGTGGTGGTAGCACACACTGTTAATCTCAACACTTGGGAGGCAGAATCAGGCAGAGTTTTATCAATTCAAGGCCAGTCAACTCTACAAGGCGAGTTCTAGACTAGCCAGACATATACAATTTATGATGAGACCCTGTCTGGAAAAACAAAAGTGCATCAGCCATTAGAAGGTGAAAGCAGAGTGATCAGGACATCAGGGTTGCTTGGCTACAGAGTGAGTTTGCAGCCAGCCTGAACTACAGACCCTGTAGCTCATCATCAATAAAGAGGACATAAGCAACACAGCAACATCCCGATGCAGAAATCTATCCGAGCTGATGCCCTAGAGGCAGGGAAAAGCATGGGAAAGCCACACACTTTCTCCAAACAAGAACACAGCTAGGCAGGCGGCAGGACAGAGGTGTCCCTTACTTAGAAAGACCCCAATTTGGGCCAGAGAGTGGAAGCTCCATGCTTGTGTGAATTTATGTACACATACACACCTGCATGCTTAGATGGTACAGCAGCCAGGGACCCTGAATTATGAGGCCTGTCCCCCTTCTGCAGCAGGGCACCTGGGATGGGCTGTGTGTTCTGCAAGAAGTTGGAGCCTGCATCCAAGGAGGATGTGGGCCTGGAAGGGGACTTCCGGAGCCAAGGGGCTGAAGAACGCTATTACCCTGACCCCACTCAAGGCCAGTCTTCGTCCAGCTTTCCTCAGCCCACCAGCCCTGCTTTCCTTAATGTTGGCAACATGAGAAGCATCTCAGGTGGGTCTCTAGGGTTCTGGGGGAAAACAAAGGAAAGGGAAGACTGAGACTTGTCCTTAGAAGCCTCTAGGATGATACAGCCCCCCTATTCTCTAGCTCAAAGTAGCTAAGCCCATGTGTGTAAATCTACACACATGGAGCCCAGTTTGGGTCTTTTTCTGTTCTTGGGACTCCAGTGATAATTGCGAGTAGCAAAGAGAATTCTTCCATGTGGAAGAATGAGGCAGAACATCATGAGTTTCAGGGCGTTCTCTCTCTCTCTCTCTCTCTCTCTCTCTCTCTCTGTATGTCTCTGTCTGCCTGTCTCTGTCTCTCTGTCTCTGTCTCTTTCTGTCTCTGTCTGCCTGTCTCTGTCTCTCTGTCTCTGTCTCTTTCTGTCTCTGTCTGTCTCTGTCTCTCTCTCCCTGTGTCTGTCTGTCTGCCTCTCTCTCTCTCTCTCTCTCTCTCTCTCTCTCTCTCTCTCTCTGTGTGTGTGTGTGTGTGTGTGTCTGCCTGTCTCTGTCTCTCTGTCTCTGTATGTGTATGTGTCTGTCTGCCTGACTCTGTCTCTGTCTCTTTGTCTATGTCCCTCTGTCTGTTTCTGTCTGTCTGTCTGTCTGTCTCTGTGTGTATATGTGTGTGTCTGTCTGTCTCTCTGTTTTTCTCTCTTATACATACAAACACACACACACACATTTCTTACACGTTACTTCAGAAGGTGAGATGACTTCTTGGTGGGGAAGCAACTTAGTCACTTTCCAGGGCAAGAGGGACATGAGGCTATTTGTCCTGGACCTAGAGGGACAAGCTATGAAACCCAAATCAGAAACCCCACCTGTCCCTGAACTTCTTCAGGAACACTGTAGAGGCAGGGAGGTCAGTGCCTGTCTGGGGAGCTGGAAGCGGAGTGCAGCTTCCTTTGGTTCCCCTCTCTAAATCCTACTCTGCTGAGCAACCCTGACTCTGCAGGGACCGGAGTGACCATTTTCATCGCCCTGTATGACTATGAGGCCAGGACAGGGGATGACCTCACCTTCACCAAAGGCGAGAAGTTCCACATCCTGAACAATTCGTAAGTGACAGGGCTACCCCACTGAGGACGTGGCCTGGGCTGGGAGCAAGTTCCAGAGAGGACAAAATTCTGATCCCGGCTGGAAAGCCCCAGCCTGATGGGGACATATAAGCCAATAAAGCTCCTGGATGAGGCCTGGGAGCACAGCTCACGGGTGGAGAACCGGGCTAGCATGTGGGCCTTGAGTTCCATCCAAAGCCCGGAAAAGAAGTGTTGATAACAAGGAAGCCCTGAGTGATTGCAGGAAGAGGGAAGACTGAGACACCACCAGAATACTAAACCTGGTCCCCCAGGGTAGCTGTGATTGAGGAAGGCTTCCTAGAGGTTTGTAAGTTGAGACAGAAAAATACGCAGACAGTGGAAGAAGAGGTGAGAGAAGCGGGAATAAGACTAAACAAGGGTTTCTAGAGAGCACCAAGGGTCGCGCGTGCATACATCATAACAAATGACATCATAACAAATGACATCACAACAAATGAGACGCAGGGCTGGGCAGGTGGCTCAGGATGGGGAAGGGTGCCTGCCACCAAGACTGACCACGGGATGCAACCCCTAGACTACCCACTACACAGTGAAAGGGGAAAATTCATTCCTTTTCACACACATGCACACTAAAAACTAACAATTTAAAAAAGAAGAAGAAGCAGCAGCCTGGTGGGTGGTGGTGTGCATGTCTTTAACCCCAGCACTCAGTGGGGGGCGAGGGCAGAGGCAGGTGGATCTCTGTGAGTTCAAGACCAGCCTGGTCTACAGAGTGAGTTCCTGGACAGCCAGGGTTACGTAGAGAAACCATGACTTGAAAAACAAACAAAAGAATAGAAAGTAGAAGCTGGAGATGGAGACAGGTTGGAATCCGTGGACATTTAAAACTGTGTCATTAAGCCTGAATTTTATCCCTGAAGGACATCTGTAGCCTCTGGGAATTTCCAGTGGGGAGGGAACCTAGTCAGCATCCACAGCATCTGGTCAGAGAAGAACAAGAGGAACAAGCCTGGGAATCCTCAAACACACTCCTTTTTCAGGGAAAACAGCTAGGGCACCCACAAGGCTGGGAGACAGGCAAAGAGAAGCCCTTGGAGTGGGGAGGGGATCGAAGGTGAGGTTTGGCCAGGACATCCTCCAGCTAATGTGGCCCAGGCTAGACCCCAAGTGCTGCTGATTGCCCCTGTGTTCTGTGACTACAGGGAGTATGACTGGTGGGAGGCTCGCTCCCTGAGTTCCGGACACACCGGCTATGTTCCCAGCAACTATGTGGCTCCTGTGGACTCCATCCAGGCTGAAGAGTGAGTATGACTGGGGCCAGCCCTGTGGGGAAAACCCTGATGTTAAACTTCCAAGGCTATCTCTTAGGAAACTACGAGGCCCACTCTGAGCCCCCTCCTCACACACATGTTATAAGAAGATGGTAAGGATGGAAGTAACCGCAGATAACACAGCAGGTGCTGCGGTCTGTAACTGAGGACTTTCTGTGTGGTCCAGAGAGAAACTCTACCGTTCTGTTTTACAAATGAGGAAGCTGGCCAGGGGTAGAGGTGCTGATCTTTAATTCTAGCACTTGCAAGGGAGAGGCAGCTGCATCTCTCTGAGTCTGAGGTTAGCCAAGTCTGCATAGTGAGTGCCAGGTCAGCCACGCAGTGAGACTTTGTTTTAAAAAATAAAACATCAAATGAGGAAGCTGAAGTACAGAAAAAGTGAATATTCTGCCCAGGTTTTTCTAGCTAGTAATGAATAGAGCTGGTGTGTGAACCCAGCTAGACATATACCATGTGCCAGCCAGTATACACCTTGCCTATCGGTAACAGTAACATTATGGCAAAAATCTGTGTGTGTGTGTGTCTGTCTGTCTGTCTGTCTGTCTGTCTTAGCAGAGACAGTGTAGATTTATAAAGGAAAAGTATGTAAGAATTCCTGAGAGTGGGAGGTGTGGCCAGGGATTACTACCCATGGGCTTTCCACTGAACCATCTCTCCAGCTCTCAAGGTTATCCTTGACGTAGTGAGTTTTAGGCCAGCCTGTAAAAAAATGAGATTCTGTCTCAAACAAAACAAAACAAAACTAATAGCTCACAAAAATGAAGCAAAACAGGGTCAGAGAGATGGCTCTGGGGGCTGGAGAGATGGCTCAGTGGTTAAGAGCACTGTCTGCTCTTCCAGAGGACCTGAGTTCAATTCCGAGCAACCACTTGGTGGCTCACAGCCATCTGTAATGGGATCTGATGCCCTCTTCTGGTGTGTATGAAGACAGTGACAGTGTACTTGCATACATAAAATAAATATTAAAAAAAGAAGATAGCTCTAAAGTTAAGACCACTGGTCCCAGATTCAATTTCCAGAGCCCCCATGGTGGCTCACATCTGTAACTCCAGTCCCTCTTCTGGCCTCTGCAGGCACCAGGCATGCATGTGATGCATAGACATACATGCAGGCAAGACACTAAAACAACGGCTACTGGAACTGGGGGTGTTGTTCAGTGGCAGAGTGCATATTTACCGTAAGAAAGGCTTGCAAGGGAACAATTCTTGGAGTTCATTTTGTTCCGTAGACAGAGAGGGGCTGCAGTGCAGTTTAACATGAGTAAGGTCCTAGATTCCATCTTCAGTTCCCTCCTCCCAAAAAAGCTATCTTCACTCTGTATCCCATACACTTATGAGGGAAAAAAAAAATGACAGGAGAGACTTTGAAGAACTGGCCTGGGCACGTGTCTCAGTTAGGGACTCTATTGCTGCAGAGAAACACCATGACCAAGAAGTGTCTTGGGGAGGAAAGGATTTATTCCTATTACACTTCCACACTGCTGTTCATCACCAAAGGAAGTCAGGACAGGAAATCAAACAGGGCAGGAACCTGGAGGCAGGAGCTAATACAGAGGTCATAAGGAGGTGCTGCTTACTGGCTTGCTTGTCCCACTTTCTTTTTTTTTTTTTTTTTTTGGTTTTTCGAGACAGGGTTTCTCTGTGTAGCCCTGGCTGTCCTGGAACTCACTCTGTAGACCAGGCTAGCCTCGAACTCTCAAACTCAGAAATCTACCTGCCTCTGCCTCCCAAGTGCTGGGATTAAAGGTGTGCGCCACCACCGCCCAGCTTGTCCCACTTTCTTATAGAACCCAGGACCACCAGCCCAGAGATGGTCCTACCCACCATGGGCAGGGCCCTTCCACATTGATCACTAATTGAGAAAATGCCTTACAGCTAGATCTCATGGAGGCATTTCCTCAACAGAGGTGCTTTTCTCTCTGATGACTCAACTTGATGTCTAGCTTGCATCAAGTTGACTCAAAACCAGCCAGTACAGTGGCATAGTAGCATCGGGCCTGTAATTCCAGCATTTGTAGTGAATTTGAGAGTAGTCTGGGCTACATGAGACTCTATATCTCCAAAACTAGAGTGAGAGTCCTCAGGACTCAGACTCTGGGAAGTGAGAAGAACTGGATAATCCCAGTATCTTTGGAAGAAGCAAGTTAGGTGTGGTGTCAGTTGATAAAATGGGGGCACAGGAGCAGGTGGAGGTATATGGGTTCTGGGTGGGGGGATTGTTGTTTTGTGGTTTGTAGAAAGGGACACTACAAGTGAAGGAAGTTGCCAGAAGCTAGACCAGGCTGCCCTGTGCATGAGAGGTCCTGGGCCATGCCACTTCATCATCCCAGAGGAAGGGGCACCTGTTTCTAATTGTCCCTGAGACTCTATCATTGTTCCCTGTAACTCTGGCAGATGGCACTGGTGCTGGTAGGGACTGGGCCTCATCTGAGTAGAGATGGTACTTAGAGCTGCCTAGTAGGAGGAAGGAGGAAGAGAGAGCAAGATACGGTGGTCCTAGGATTTGACTCTGGGGATGACCTTGGAGAAGAAAGAGCAGTTAGAGAAGTGAGGAAAGCAGACCAGGCCAGTGCAGCACATCCAAGGCCGGAGGAGGGTTTTCTGAAAACAGGAGAGGGGGGATTTGAGGCTGCCTTCATCCTTGGCAAGGAGGTGACCCTCATAAGGCACCTTTGTCACATGGGATGTAAAAATGGGCTTGACAGCAGAGTCCAGGAAGGAGGGAGTTAGTGGAAGGGGAGGAAGTATTGTCTCAAGAGGGGAAAATGTGGTTCTAAGTGAAAGGCTGAGAAGCCAGGGCCAAACATGCAGAAGATGGCTTAGCGGGTAAAGTTACTTGCTGTCAGGCCTGGTCACTTGAGTTTGATCTCCAGAACCCACAGGGTGAAAGGAGAGAGCCAGCATCCATGGATTGTTTTCCGACCTCCACTTCTTTATTATAATATGTATGTGCATGTGCACACACAAAATGAATACAGAAGATGCAATAATTGGTTGGGTTTTTTTTTGTGGAAAAAGAAAAAAGTAGGGGACTGTAGAGATGGCTCAGTGGTTAAGAGCACTCGTGGCTCTTCCAGGGGACCAGGGTTCAATTCCTAGCACCCACAGGGAGACTCATAACCCTCGTTAACTACCGTTCTAAGGACTCTGATGCCCTCTTCCAGCCCCCGTAGACATTTGAACACACATGCATGTGCAGTAATTACAAAGAAATAAATCTCTAAAATACAACAATGTTGGACTCAGAACTTCTTCCCTCTAGGAAAGAGGAAGGTATGTGTTTAGGGATTGAAGGATGGACAGGTTCAGGGGGCTGTTTATAGGGTGAGATGGGGTTTCTAGAGCAGGACATGGGCAAGTCCAGAGCATAAGAGAATTGAGGCCAGGTTGTGGAGAATGGCAGAAAGCATGAAGTATGACAGAGGGGAGGGGTGGCGGTGGTCAGGGGGTTTGGATCAGCTGTGCCCACAGCCTGGGCAGCATGCTGATGTCTAAAGTCCCCCATGTGGAGTCCTGGGTGAGAGCCCAGGCCTGAGAGGAGACAGTTTGGGTTCCTGTTTTGGATCACAGTGTGGCCTCAGGCAAGCTGCTTAACCAGTAGGTAGTTGGTTCAATTCCTCATCTGTCTTATGAGTTTAAACATGGCACCTCCCTCTGAATATTATAACGGAGTCTATTTATGTACAGGGCTATCATCTACCACAAAGGAAGTGCCCAGTCTATTAAGCCTTGGTTTTTATTTTGAAGCAAGGTCTTGCAATGTAGCACAGGCTACCTCACACTTACAGTCTCATCCTCCTAGGTGCTGACTTACTCTACTGATCCTTAAGGAAATTTTTGGCTTTTTTGAGACAGGTTTTCTTTGTGTAGCTCTGGCTGTCCTAGAACTAGTTCTGTAGACAAGGCTGGCCTTGAACTCAGAGATCCTCCTTCCTCTGCCTCCAGAGTACTGGTGTCAAAGGTGTGCACCACTGCACCGGGGTTGAAGGAGGACCTTGAAAAACTTTGGCAATGTGTCTGGTATAGCCCTTCAATCCTTTCTCCTCCTTGCTGCCTGCCTTCCTCGGCTCTCCATTCTCCAAGGCCGCCTTCTGTCTCCCAGATTTGCCTGGCACTCAGGTATGGACTGAGCATGCCCAAGTTCCCAGGTGTCTTCACCTCCCTTGATTTGAAAACTGTGTTCCTTTCTATCGAGCCCACGAGGCGCAATTTAGTGATCAGATAACAACAGAGTCTTCCACAGTGCATGTGGTCACATCTGTTCCCTCCAATCCACCGAGTACACACACAGTTTGCTTGGGGCTACAGTTGTCTCAGCCAGCATCAAACAGGAACAAATTTGGGGCTAGGGCGGGGCAGGGGCCAGAAGGATTGCCTAGGGTGGTTGGAGAGAATTAGGACAAGTGAGGACATTAGACTGTTCGAATCAGCTAGGCTGGTGGGTTAGTCTGCTCCCCTCTGAGTCTTGAGTTCTTTGTCTGTAAAATGAGTAATGAAGAGGTCTAGTGAAATGGATCAAGGGCCCTGGTGGTACCTGAAAAGGTCACTGATGCCTGACTTCTACCAGTTTTTGTTGGTTGGTTGGTTGGTTTGGTATAAGGTCTTACAATGTAGCTTGACTGATTTGGAACATCTGCCTGCCTGTGCTTCCCAAGTGCTGGGATTAAAGGCATACATACCACTGACTTTAATGGTTCTTTTTTTTCTTTTCTTTTCTTTTCAGTTTTTCAGAGACAGAGTTTCTCTGGCTGTCTTAGAACTCGTTCTGTAGACCAGGCTAGCCTTGAACTCACAGAGATCCACCTGTCTCTGCCTCCTGATTGCTGGGATTATATCACCACACCAGGAAGATTCTAACAATTTTAATTCAAGAGACATCATTGGCTAGAAAAGAGAATCCTGGTCTTTCTTAGGCATGAACCATGTTTGCCAGACACTTTTTCATTCCCCTTCTCTGGGATCCTTATACTCAAGTCATGAAACAGATTACAGTAGTCCATTTGTCAGATGAGGAAACTGAGGCTTGGTTTGTGCGGTGACTTCCCAGGAAGATAAACTGTCGTTTAAAGAGAATGTGCCTGGCCGGGCAGTGGTGACGCACACCTTTAATCCCAGCACTCGGGAGGCAGAGGCAGGCGGATTTCTGAGTTCGAGGCCAGCCTGGTCTAAAGAGTGAGTTCCAGGACAGCCAGGGCTACACAGAGAAACCCTGTCTTGAAAAACCAAAAATTAAAAAAATAATAAATAAATAAATAAATAAATAAAAATAAAAAATAAAAAAAATTAAAAAAAAATAAAGAGAATGTGCCTGATTCTGTCTGCTTTTCCTAACAGGTGGTACTTTGGAAAGATCAGTAGAAAGGATGCAGAAAGGCAACTTCTCTCCTCTGGCAACCCTCAGGGAGCCTTTCTCATTCGGGAAAGTGAGACCACCAAAGGTGGGTTGGTATGCCATGCCACCAGCCATTAAGGGCAGTGGGATGGTGCTTGGGTCAGGGCCAAGTGGAAGGGCAGAGCTAAGATGGACTCTGGGAATTGCCTTTGGGACCTCTTCCTGATCTAAGTCTGAGGGAGAAAAAGAGTAAATGACCCTTTCCCCCCAGGTGCCTACTCCCTGTCCATCCGTGACTGGGACCAGAACAGAGGCGACCACATAAAGCATTATAAGATCCGAAAGCTGGACACTGGTGGCTACTACATCACCACACGGGCCCAATTCGAATCCGTGCAGGACCTGGTGCGGCACTACATGGGTGAGCTACTCACTGTGACCATGTTGTCCTGATGGGGAGACTGAGGCCTGGAGAACAAACTGATCTCCTAAAGAAGTAGTGGCTAGGCCAAGTATGTGCGTCCCCAGGCTAGGATCCCGCTCTGTGTGGATTCTGAGGACACAGAGGCATGACAAAGTAATGCCTCCTAATGGTCTTGCTTCCAGACCTAAGCCTGTGGGAACTTTTGAAAAATTTACATTTTATTTATTTTGGGGGAGGGGCTCACCAGTGTCAGGGGACAACTTGTGGAAGTTGATTCTCTCCTTCAGTCAAGTGGGTCCTGGGGATAAAACTCAGGTTGTTGGGGTTGCCAGCAGATGCCTTCTTTACCTGCTGAGCAAAGTCTTGCTGGCTTCCGTCTATGGAAACTTTGTGGGGCCTTTGTTTTCTCTCTCTCTCTCTCTCTCTCTCTCTCTCTCTCTCTCTCTCTCTCTCTCTCTCTCATTGTGTGTGTGTGTGTGTGTGTGTGTGTGTGTACCATGTGTGGAAATCAGAGGACAACTTACAGAAATAAGTCCTTTGCTTCTACCATATAGGTCCCAGAGACCAAACCTGAGTGGTTAGGCGTGCTGCTGTCTGGCTCCTTTACCTGCTGAGCCACCTTGCTGGCCTTATTGTACTTCCTAGGCAGAGTCCTCATTAGAGGCTTTAAGCCAGCAATTCTCAACTCTCCTAATGCTATGACCCTTTAATACAGTCCCTCATGGTGACCCACAACCATAAAATTATTTCATTGCTACTTCATAACAGTAATTTTGCTACTGTTATGAATTGTAATGTGAATATCTGATATGCAGGATTTATCTAAGCAGTGGGTTGCAGAAGCTGACCAGAACTTTGAGGAGAACCTCTGGCTGTTGTGTGCTACTTGGACGTCAGGGACAAGGTTGAAGGCAGGGTCCCTTGGACAGTTGAGGTCATTGCCCAGGCAGTGACAGCAAACAAGCAGCAGACAATGATTCTGAAGCTGAGCAGGAGGCAGCAGGGACCTGGCCAGACAGAGGCCTGGTTGTGGGGTTAAGCAATTATGGTCCATCCAGAGTAAAACCCAAGCATGGAAGCCAGGCAACTTCATTGCCTAACGTTCTTGGCTTGACTGGTTAGGCCCAGGATGAGGTCCATGGCAGGAATGGGCTCATGTCCACAGTTTTGCCTCAGAACCTTACCTCTGTTTTTCCCTGTCAGAACTGGTCCTTGTAAGGGTAAGGCTTGGCTGGAGGCTGCCTTCTAGGAACAGCCATAAAGTTCCCACAGGGATTATCTCTTTTGTGTACTAGCCTTCCTTAGGTACCAACAAGTTGCCCTACTCAGAGGACTGAATTGTCTTCTTTCCTGGCTGTGAGCTCAAATATGAACGTTGTTTTTTTTTTTTTCCTTCAGTTTTTTTAAGACAGGGTTTCTCTCTGTAGCCCTGGCTGCCCTGGAATTTGCTCTGTAGACCAGGCTGGCCTCTGCCTCCTGGGTACTGAGATTAAAGTTGTATTCCACCACTGCCTGGCTTCCTTCCTTCCTTCCTTCCTTCCTTCCTTCCTTCCTTCCTTCCTTCCTTCTTTCTTTCTTTCTTTCTTTCTTTCTTTCTTTCTTTCTTTCTTTCCCTTTTAATCCTGGCTTGTGAAGACAAACTGTAAACTATTTTAATTTCTCTGGATCTGTTTGTTTGTTTGTTTTAGACCCTATAGCCTAGGCTAGCACCAAACTCCTTCCTCTTTCCTCAGCCTACCGAGTGCTGGAATTACCAGCAAGAGCCACCATATTCCACTAGGGCCTGGCTATTTATAGCAGCTAAGCTTGATGTCTGATGCTAGGCTGTCATAGAATTTCGGAGAGTGTCCAATACTTTCCATCTGTGACCTCCTTCCGTCTGTCCTTCCTCCAGAAGTGAATGATGGTCTGTGCTACTTGCTCACGGCACCCTGTACCACCATGAAGCCCCAGACCCTAGGCCTGGCCAAGGATGCCTGGGAGATTGACCGTAGCTCCATAACTCTTGAACGCAGGCTGGGCACCGGCTGCTTTGGAGACGTGTGGCTGGGTAGGAGATGGGGCGTGGGGTGGAGGATGCTGGGGGGGTGTGTGTCTAGGGTTTGGGAAAAGGGACAGGATTTTCTGGGAGCCAGTCTTGACTGAATATGCGGCCACCGAGCAGGCACGTGGAACTGCAGCACAAAGGTGGCAGTGAAGACGTTGAAGCCGGGCACCATGTCCCCAAAGGCCTTCCTGGAGGAAGCACAGATCATGAAGCTGCTGAGGCACGACAAGCTGGTGCAGCTGTACGCGGTGGTGTCAGAGGAACCCATTTATATAGTGACAGAGTTCATGTGCTACGGTGAGGGAGGCAGGGTAGGAGGCGGGGTTTGGATGGGTGGGACCGCGGCTATCACCTGCAAAGGGGCTAGAAACTGTATAGTTCCAGAGAAAGGGAAGGGGCCGGCTAGGGGGCGGGGACTGTTGCGGGGGCGGGCCCTCCTCTTGCTAGAAGGTGCTTAGACAACTAGTGGATCCTTTCGAGTTTACCAGGGCAAGCTCTGGAATGGAGAGAGGACTTGGAGAGGAGTCTAAGTGGTCGTGTTCAGGGATTCGGAGGTGGAGACAGAGCAGGAAGGTTGATCTAGGTGAAAGAACCGGAAGAGAGGGAGGCAGAGTGAGGCTAGATTAACTGGATAAGGGCAAGGCCAGTGTAGACAAGGCTTGTTGGGAGTAAGGGCTTGCTGCTGATTTTCTGGCTGCTCCTTCCTAGGTAGCTTGCTGGATTTCCTAAAAAACCGAGAGGGTCAGAACTTGATGCTGCCCCATCTAGTGGATATGGCTGCCCAGGTACGCTGAACCAGCAGGCTTCATCTCCCAGATCTCTCTCCTATTGTCTTTCCATAAACCCGTATCCCTTCATCCACTAAAACTGCAGCCTAGCCCACCTTATGAGCTCTGAGACCTGAGGCAGGAAGACGCTGTTGAGTCTCCCCATGTGCTCTGGACAGCGGTGGGGAGGGGGTGGGATGTCCACTGGGACAATGGAGTTTTCAGGAGACTCTCACATACCCTTCAGGTGTAATTATGGTGTTGTGAGCCCATGCTAGCGCCTGTCTCTCACTCCCCCCCCCCCCCGCCTCCCTCCTAGGTAGCTGAGGGCATGGCCTACATGGAGCGCATGAACTATATCCACCGAGACCTGAGAGCAGCCAACATCCTGGTGGGAGAGCATCTGATATGCAAGATCGCTGACTTCGGGCTGGCACGCCTCATAGAGGATGATGAGTACAATCCCCAACAAGGTGAACGGCCTCTCCCTACCTCCCTAGAGATCAAAAACTCTAAGAGTTTGCCATGCACCCCACACAGTAGGAAACCCTTCCCCATCCCTGATGATCCCAGACACCCCCAATCCCGACGTGAATCATATGCAAGTTTCCCCTGCAAACACTAGCTACCCACACATCTTGAGTTACCTATGAGATGCCATTTCTGATCTATAAAATGAAAATACTTAGTCCACAGTAAGAAAATAAGTATTTACCAGCTACTGAGTAAGTACCAGACACGGCTAAGTCTCTAAGTCTTAAGCAGATTTAAACAGACTAACTTTAAGTTTTAAACAGAAGACAGTAGAGTATAATAACACCAGATCTGTAGCCAGAATGCCCAGTATGGATCCCAGCCCCTCGCTGGTTGTGCTAGCTGGGCAGAGAACTTATTCGCCATCTTCTTTTCCTAAATGAAGAGGGGAAGTCAATGTAGTGAGCTGATCTGTTGATTGACATACTGCCTAAGACAGTACCAGGGCCTGGGGCTAAAACCCAGATGGAGAATGCTTGCTTAGTGGAAAGGGGGACTGAATTTGCTCCCAGTGCCGTAAAACCCAAACCAAGACAAGTGAAACTGTGACCGGCTCTCAGTAAAGGCTACAGACATTCTAATACCTTATCTTGAGAAGCAAAACCACGTGTGGAAAGTGTCCAGCACTGTACTACGCACACAGTAGGCACTGACTTCATAAATAGCAGGTCTTGTGCACAGAGACCTCTATGCTTGAGGTCCCCAAGATATCCAATCCTAGAGCCCTCATTCTCTTAATCCAGCAGTTCCCAGGGACCCCCCACCCATTAACCTTACCTTCTTCCTCAATATCTCCAGGAACCAAGTTCCCCATCAAGTGGACAGCCCCAGAGGCTGCCCTCTTTGGCAGATTCACTGTCAAATCAGACGTGTGGTCTTTTGGGATTCTGCTTACTGAACTGATCACCAAGGGCAGAGTTCCTTACCCAGGTGAGCAGGGATTTGGGGGTGTGGTCATGGGGAAGGGCCTTCTCCACCCCTGCTCCTCCCACTGGCTGACAGAGTGCCACTCCTCAGGTATGTACAACCGGGAAGTGTTGGAACAGGTAGAACATGGCTACCACATGCCATGCCCTCCGGGATGCCCAGCATCCCTGTATGACGTCATGGAGCAAACCTGGCGTCTGGATCCAGAGGAGAGGCCCACCTTTGAGTACCTGCAGTCTTTCCTGGAAGACTATTTTACCTCCACGGAACCACAGTATCAGCCCGGAGACCAGACATAGCCTGATTGGGTATCAGTGACCCTCTGGGAGTATGTACTTGTCCTTGCCAATCGCCAATCCCCAGGGCACTCTGGTCCCAGTGCTCCAAGACTTGGAACCCTGTGGAATCCTAGCACATCAGAGAAGGTCTGAAGCTCTGAAGTCATTTTATAGAGGGTACAAATGGAGACTAGGGGTTCATCTCTTACCTTTCCTGACCCCAGGCGCTTTTTCTTCCCTTCCCACCCATGCCCCATCCAAAAATCTAGGATTCACTCACTCACTTCACAGATGAAGTAAATGGATGCTCAGAGCTCATCTCTCGAACACTCTGACCCCAGTACCATTTCCCCATCCCATCAGGCTTCCACATATTGTTAGTTTCTCTCTCCCATTTCCTAAAAATACTCATACTTTGTCTAGTTATTTATAAAATTGTATTTCTCTTCTGCCACTTATCCCTTATTCCTGATTTCCTACCTCCTGTTCCAGCGCAGACCCTAAGAACTTAATTCTTAGGCTTTCTTGGGTTTCTCTTCATTACAAAGGCAGGGAACGGAACGTCTTTGCTTGATTCCCTGCCTTCACACCGGATGCTCTGGTGCAGGCCTGGGTCTGAGGGAGAGAGCCCTTGGAGGGTCACCACCTCTCTGAGGGATGTGTATGTGTTTATTCATTATGTAAGAACAATGATGAGATACACATCTGGCTATGACAATTCCCTGAGCCATCTATGGAGAGGAGTGGTAATTCGCAGGAGGCTTTGGCTATTTGTGGGGAGGGCAGAGTAGGGTGATGAGCAGTTCCCTCTTACCTACTAAGTACTAGGTACCCAGTGCATGGAGTTTCAGGACACCCCTAAGTCCCACTGTTCACCTACATGTCAGTTTACCATGTGTTGAGAGACACAGAAAGCAGGTGATTCCAAATAGACAAATGTGGTTTTGAATCTGCGTACAGCTAATTCCTTGCCTGATTTCAGCCTGCTTCCCAGCCATCACAGGCACACTGGGACAGTCTTAGGCCTCCCACAGCAGAGGCATGGTGAAGAATACAACAAACCCTCTACAGCTGTCAGGTTCCTCAGAACACAGCAAGAGGATGAATAAAAGAGGCCTAGCTTATAGTACCTCACTGGAGAGCAGGTTAGGTTCTTCCTCATCCCAGGGAGCTTTTGGAGACCTTTGGAAGTATTTTTGTTATCGTGACTGGAAGTGCCTACTAGCTGGGATCAGAGATGGTAGACAACCTTTGATATACTTCTTGGGTCCTCCGTGAAGAAACTGGCAGCTAGCATTGCCTCTGTTTGGAAACCAGGAGAGCAGGAAATGTGGATTCCCACCTCTCCTGCCAGGAAGTGTTTATTGGCCCTCTGACTTATTGATGTGAGAGAAGAGAGGAGCCTGGGAGCTGGGAGTCACTGATGCACTAGGCAATTACTAAGAATTGACTCTGATGGGCCCTTCACTGAGCAGGACCCTGGGCATGTACAAATGAGTAAGAGCTATTCCTGTCCTGGAGGCTTCCCCTTGGGTGAAGAAATAATGAATAAATAAATAAACATATACTTACCTTTAAAGAAAAAAAAAAAAAAGAGGCACTGTCTCATATAACCCAGGCTGACCTTAAACTCTATACATCGCCAAGAATGACCTGGAACTCCCAATCCTCCTGCATCCACTTTCCAAATGCTGGGATTACAGTTGTGTCCTACTATGCCCAGTTTAATCTATTAAACTGCCTGGGACTCGACGGCACATACCTTTAGTCTCAGCACTAGGGAGGCAAGCAAGCAGGTAGGCATGTGTTTGAGGCCAGCATAGTCTACACAGCAAGGTCCAGAATGGCTAGGGATAATAGTGAGACCCTGTCTCAAACACACAGACAAACACATATGCCTGCTAACTGTAAGATATGTTTGCGGCCTTTCTCCCGTGTAATCTAATGCTGAGACTGTTTCCTATGATAAGTTGCACCGAATAAGAAAACTGAGGCCCAGGGGTTACCTGATTGATATAACTGGATCACTCAGATGCACATGGTAGGGCCGATCTTACACAAAGCCCACAGTCTCTTCACTAGTGCATTACCACTGGGCTTTAGAAAGGATGGTGTGTGTGTGTGTGTGTGTGTGTGTGTGTGTGTATGTGTGTGTTTTCTCTACTTATCAACAGAAAGATTCCCTAGAACCCGTTGCCAAACTGAGGAATCTGAAGGAAAGGAGCAGGACGGCATCTACTGCGAGTCTCTCTGACCAGGGTTGTGCTGGAGGCTGTTGAATCAAAAGAAGGAATGAAGGGACTGGAGAGATTGCTCAACGGTTAGGAACACTGACTGCTCTTCCAGAGGTTCTGAGTTCAGTTCCCAGCAACCACATGGCAGTTCACAATGGTCTGTAACTCTAAGATTTGACACTCTCACACAGACATACATCCAGGCAAGACCCCAATGCATGTAAAATAAAAATAAATAAATGAAAAAATAAAGATGGAGAGAATCCAGGTGTCACACGTCACAGCATGGCAGCCTTAGCTCTGCAGGTAAACTCTCAGGTACCAAGGTTTCTCGAGACTATAGAGTCCTAGCCAGCCACAGTCACAAGAACCTGGTATACAGAAGGTAGCGTTGTTTCTCTCTTCCTGCTATGGGGTTAAATACTTAGAGCATAGATCTGGAGCTGCAGTTTCCACCGTGAACCCTGCCTCTGCTACTTACGGGCTCGGTGGCTCTATGCAAGTGTTTAATTTTGCCAAGCTTCAGTTTGCTCATCTGTGAAGTAGCATTAAATGTTTAATACACGTCAGCTGTCTGCCACTGGCATTACAGAATGTTGACTCGGTGCCAGGGGTCCCGCTAAGGGCACGCTGCCATTTCAGCCTCACATCACCTAGAAAAACGGGCAGCTGTTCTGATAAACTGAGGTACTGTGAGGTAAGCTGTAGCCCCCCCCCACACACACACACATACAGCCATTTTGAGATAGACTCCCTCTATATCGCTCAGGTTTCTTAGTGCTGGAATCGAAGGCATATACCATCATGCCTGACCTAAGTCAGATTTTTGAAGGTGTCCAGGACATTAAGCTGGTGAATCGAGGGCCGAGACAAAGTCTCCAGCCCCAGATTTAGCACTCATCCTCCACAGCCCTTTCCTGGAACCAAGATATTCTTGTCTGCCTCCTGGGGCTCTGCCTGCTGCCTTCTGCCCATGTGGTTTCAGTGAAGGCCCAGCAGTGTGGTGAACCATCTGGAGTGCTCCAGGCCCCTTGCTGCTCTCCAGCCGACCAGACCTTCCCTGTGTCTACAGGTTCCCCATTACTCCCTCCAGAGCAGCTGGATGAGCCTCCCTGGAACCCCCATTTCAGCACCGCCTTCTGTTCCCTCCAGGTAGAGCACAATGCAATTGATTAAGCTATGGCTCTCCCCTCTCTCGTTTCAATCATAGCCTCTCGCCCTGCCTCCCTGAGATTACAGGCCGGTCACCTTGATTGTAGCTCGCTCCGTTCACAAAACTCTCCGGTCGTTTACAAAACCATCTCTCCGCCTCATTCACTCCCCCACCTGGCTCTTCTCCTCCGTGATGTGTAGATTTTACTGGCTTACGGCTCAGAGGGCGATTTTATCTCCAGGTTTCATGCTGAGGGAAGGTACCTAACTGACTGATGCGGGGACGCTTCACTTGCATGATCTCGTTTGACCCTCACTACTAGGCTCTGCAGCAATGGGAGAATATAACCATGTATGGAAAGGAAATGAAGGTTCTGACCCTCACCCAAGGTCATTCAGTGAGATGATAGAGTCTGAGTTTGAACTCTAGGACTCATGTGTTCCACTGGCATGCATGATAGAATTGTATGGCAAAAGCTAATACTGGCCCAGGGAGGCTGTAGATACAGGTATGGACCCACGGTGTCTTCATACCTGCTGATTGCACTCAAATGGGACTAGAGAGATGGTTCAGTGTTTAAGAGTGCTTACCGCCCTTGCAAAGGTCCTGAGTTCAATTCACAGCACCCACATTTGGAAGCTCGCAGCTGCTTGGAAGTATTTCATGGGATTCAATGCTCTCTGGCCTCTGAGGGCATCTGAACTCACATATGCACATTAACTCATGCAGACATACATACATACATACATACATACATACATACATACATACATACTTATAATTAAAAATAAGAAAAACCCAAAACTAATCTTTTGTAAATTTCATATACACCCATTTTTGTGTTGTTTTCTTTGTAGTTTTTGATGGATGTTTTTCTTTTTGCTGTTATTGTTGCTGTTGTTTTGAGATGGACCTCAAAGTCTAGGCTGGCCTTGAACTCAAAATCCGCCTGTTGCTGCTGCTGTTTTTCATGCATTCAGTGTTATCTCCATTAGGCTGGTCTTGTCCAGGAAGTATGGCAGTAAACCATTACAACACATAGCAGCAAGGCCAGTGTAGGAGCCCAGGGAGATTTCTTGGAGTATGTAGAATGAATTGGCTCTGAGGAAACAGAAGAATGAGGTCATCTCGGTTGAAAGACTAGCACGTGCAAAGGCCCTGAGGTATAGCCAAGGGAAACTCATTCAGGAAATGCAAAGAACTACATATGTGATGGCAGGTAGCTTAGATGAAGCATGGCAGAATAAGGATGGGAGGTCAGATGCAGGAATCCAAGCGTTATGGCTCTTCAAAGCCAGAAAGAAGTCATCTGGGAGTCCAGGACACACCAGAGGAGACTTTCCAAGTCCCATTGTTCCAAAACTGAGCTGGAAGAATCCTTTGTCCACTCCCGTAGGTGTATTTTTGGTACAGTTAGGAAGCCTCCCTCCCCGTAACCCAACCACCCCTAATCACGCACATGGCCCGAATGGCTCTGCAGTGATGCTTGTCCTCCATCTAGTGGACACTCTAGGAACTACATCCAGAAATGAAGGAAACTTTGCTGGGTGGGTTGGTGGGGTGTCAGGTTCCAATTCCCACTCTCAAGACACATAAAGGTTTTTTTTTTTTTTTCTTCAGTTTTTCGAGACAGGTTTTCTCTGTGTAGCCCTGGCTGTCCTGGAACTCACTCTGTTGACCAGGCTGGGCTTGAACTCAGAAATCCGCCTGCCTCTGCCTCCCAAGTGCTGGGATTAAAGGTGTGAGCTGCTACAATAGCTTTGGGCAGGGACTTTTCAGAGGAAACTAGAAAATAAAAACAGTCAAATAGACACCTTTAATTCCAGCACCCTGAGAGACGGAGGCAAGCAGCTCTTTCTGAGTTCCAGGCCAACCTGGGACTACATAAGCTACATAGTAAGACTGTCTAAAAACACCAACAAAACAAGAGACAAAGACAAGCAACTGGGGCTGGAGAGATGGCTCAGTAGTTAAGAGCACTGGCTACTCTTCCAGAGGACACTAGTTCAAATCCCAGCACCCACATGGTGGCTCACAGGCATCTGTTATTCCAGTTGCAGGGGATCCGATGCCCTTTCTGACCCCAAGAGCATCAGGAGTGCACATGGTGCACATATATACAGGCAAAACACCCAGACACATACATTTTTTTCTAATGCAGCTAAAATAGAGTGGGGAGTGGGGCTGGACATTTGAGGATTGTGAATTTGAGGTGAACCTAAGCTATGTATGGAGAGACCTTGTTTTAAAAGAGAGAGAGAGAGAGAGAGAGATGAGAGAAGAAAAGAAATGGGAAGTCCCAGCCTGCTGCAGCAAGCCAGCACTTGGGAGGTACATGCAGGAAAATCAAGACTCCAAGGTCATCCTCAGCTACATTACAAGTTTTAGGCTAGCCTGGACTATTTGAAACCCTGTATCAAAGTACCACACTTAAAAAAAAAAAACTTGCCAGGCAGTGGTGGTGCACGCCTTTAATCCCAGCTCTTGGGAGGCAGAGACAGGTGGATTTCTGAGTTCGAGGCCAGCCTGGTCTACAGAGTGAGTTCCAGGACAGCCCGGGAT